CCCCCCCCCACCCGGCCAAAAAGGATGAAAGGAAGTAAAGTAATACGAAGTTTGTTCTCCCGAGGGTGGAGAATAAATAGGGAAGTATTACCCAGCATCCGAGGCTGGATGTATGTACCTGCGTCCGAGGCTCATAAATCGAAGATGCTTTCTCACGGTTAACCCGACGAGGCAGCGCAAGGCACTAATGCCCATAACCTTTTTGGATTAATTTTCCTGGATAAATTGTAAAGAGTTAACGGGATCGGCGAAAACGTCAAAAAGACGTCGGGGGTCTTGGGCGCCGCGACGGCATTTCTTTCAGGCGTTAATCAGGAAAGTTGGTAATTAAGGGATGCGGGGGTGGGACCGTGGGAGGGTAGGGGAGGGCGGGTGTGAAAGCGTGTAACGAGCTACGCACTTGATATCTGATTATAATTTATCATTAGTCCTTAATGGACAAAGGATTGAAGGACGGAGGGTAGTTTTAATCGGGATAAAGGAACAGGGGGTAAGACGGTGGGGGGGAGCGGGGGGTTGAGCAAGTTAAACCCTATTTCGAAAAATAAGTTCATGGCTATGGGGGTAGCGCGAGAGAACAGGGGGGTGTGGGACAGGAGAATTTTGTGAGTCAAGGAAACGGATATATAGGTATATAGAGAGAGTGAGGGGGTGGAAAGTGGTGGGTAGGGTGGAAGAGGAGAAAGAACAGAGCGCAGAGTTCAAAGGTGACTAGGGGTAATCAATTTCTCAGGGTTCGAAGACAAGGAGCTTACCCCTATTTTACCAGGTAGAGCAGCCCCCCAGCCCCGGCCACACTAATTTCAGGGCCCGGTCTTTCTACCGGTACCAATCCTCCCTGTTACGGTATCCAGCCGACCCGGAGTTCAACCACGGTAACAACCCCTATTGTGGAGTACCGGAATGATTACTCGTACCCAGCCCTGTTTTGTGGTGGACCCAACGATGGATTTGGGAATCGCAGTGAAAGTTTCCTTTCATCCCTTATTGAGACGAGTCCATGGACCTTTACTCTTCTCTCTCTCTCTCTCTCTCTCTCTCTCTCTCTCTGTCACGCTACTGTACCATCCAACGTATCGTATAAATGATCCCTTATAAGATCTACGAGTCGTCCAACCCAAATCCCGTATGCGTGAATAGCTGATTAAACAGGGGTGAGTTTAGTGCGCAGTCCTTAGGACCCATTAAACCACCTAGAGTCCTCCAGTTCCTTAGAGGGGTGGTTCCCACCCCCAAAGGAATCGACGTTAAGCACCGGCATAATTAAGTCCTACCTTTGGGTGAGCCCGTCCTCGACACCTCGCACTTTGTGGCCCGAATTAAATCTGATTAGACAGGGTTGTCAGGGTGTTTCGAGTAGGGTGGCCACCCCATGGAGGGGGATGATCTTACTTGAAATTACACGCCGAGGAGCTTCTGGCATTTCGTGCTCTTTGTAGATTTCGCTGTTTTTATTTTATAGAGTAAAGAATAGAGGGGGTGGTATATCGTATAAATAAAAATTGATCAATAGCGCAATGAGGGTGCCATTGTCCGTGACTACATTTTCCACGTTATACAGAATTTCGCAGAACGGGCTGGAGGAACCCAGTCAGCCGGAGAGTTTAAAGAGAATAAAGGAACGTGATTGGCTAAGTCCAATATAAATTTCAAATACATGTAAACGTGCCCTAAGAACTTTATACGAGCGACCGTGAAAGGATACAATTAAAATTGTGCGAGTAAATGAAATACATAACTACCCCTTGTCGTACGAGCGTTATAAGGGTTGAATTTGAAGAATCGAAACTCCCCGAGAAAATTCAAGGCTGGACCAAAGACCAAAAGCACTCCGGATGTGGCGGTCGTGCAGAATCCGCCAAGATAGCCTTGCACGTGATTTATCCCTTAATAGTGCGACGGTTCACGACTTTTAACTTGGCCCTTTCGTTACTCAGGTTGGCAAGACTGAGTCTGTTTTTCTTGAAATTCCGTCTACGATCCTTCCCCGTTTACTTAGATATGACCCCCGGACATCCTGAACAGATAAGTACGGAGCCACCCTTCTTTTTCGACTTTGGAAATATTCAAAACTGAGCAATAAAACGCAACGAGTGAGCTGTGACGAATTTCGGATTCTTTCATTTCAGTTGGTATCCTTTTGGCTGAGATAATTTTTTTTAGACAGTAAACAGATTCTTAATAAAAAAAATCATCCCGTACCATTCAATTGCTTTGGTTCACTGTGCAAGTGAGATCATATTGAGAAAGAAAAAAATAATAATAACCATTTGAAGCCTTATGAAAAATGTTGGTCGAAGAAGGAAAAAGAATTAATTTTAATAAATTATGAGCATCGAGTTTCGTTGCTCTCAGAAGAAGTATATACATGTACAAGCAGTATGTGTATCTATGAAATTATAGCTACGTTATTAGCTAATATACCGAGGCTGTATCATATATATCTATATAGGTATAACGCTATGTGTGCACAAGGGTAGTCGAGTTATTGTAAATCGGCTTAACGCGAAGGAAGCGCGAGCTGTAATCTCGCCCGTACATGGTCAGTGAGAATCGATAAGCCAAGCTCGACAGTATGGAATGTCCTGGGAACCACTCCCTTTATAGGTAGGAGTAATAGGACCAAGAGCAAAAGATAAAGAAAAATAAAGTTAAAATAAACGCAGATATTTTAAAGAAGAATCATCGTCCAACAGTTCCTATACGAAGAATACCGTAATGTATGGCTGTGGGCTGGAAGACGAATGAAGGCTGTTGGACGATTTTATTAATCATCCAAATGCCATAATCGGGTCAATGAAATTTTGTGAAAATTGTAAAAAAGGCATTTTCGATAAATAAACGAGGTATTAACGTAAAAAAAAAAAGAGAATTCGAAAATTTTGTGAATTACTTTTCAACGTTGTACAAATTTTACGGATCAAAGGTCAACGTGTGACGTAACGTATCGGGTAGAGCATATAGGAAAAATCAAAGAAGAGGGTCAAGCGATGTTAAGAGATTTGAGATTCGTCTGGTGGACGTGAAAATGACGTAAGATTTTTGGAAAAATAACAAAAGGCAAAATTCAAAGTCGCTAGGGAGTTACGTAATTCGAAAAGGCGACGGGAGAAAAGTGGGTCGCGACGCAAAGTAGACAGAAGAAAAAGGAAAAAAAAAATTTCTCTCTCGCTCTCCTCTCTTCGCCCCGGTATAATTTCGACCAAAGAGACGCTGCGTACACTGTGTACCTTTAATATCTTACGTCAGCGTCAATGCACGACGTCATCTCTGCCAAAGTTGGCAAACCTGCCAAATTTTTGTGCAACTTTACTACGACTCGCGAAATACGAGGTACGAAAGATGAGAAAAAAAAAAGATAAGAAATCTAAAGGAGCACATTTTTAAGAAAAATTTTCGCAAATGTTCTCTTCATTTTTCAGATTTTTTTTTTTGTATCGCAACTATTTACTCGCTGTTCAATCCATACAATAATTCACACTGACAATTACCGGATGCAACGAAGCCGCTCATATTCGAGCCATTAAATTGATAAGGATCGTTCATCGAAAATGGAGTCTGATAACACACCCAGAGCTTACAGTCCTTTCACAGGCTGTACAGCTCGTACAATGCATACAGTATTGCTGTTCAATGAGTATGATAGGTGTGGGTGGTGGGGAGGCGTTTACACTGCTTACGAGAATCCCTCTTATCCCTTACTGTGTAATAGGATCAACGACTTACCCGTGATAAGCCAGGAATGATAATAGGAAAAATATGCAGGCCAGCACATCGGCTCTGCCAACGATTCCTGTGACCTGCAACAGAAGAGGAAAAAAAAAAAAATTACAAAATTACAATGGAATTAGAAAAAAACAAAAAAATAAGTACACGAAAACGGATCGATAAGCCTTATCATGCAAGGAATATGTTTTCCCTGCAAGTTCATCCCTTAAATTTATCTCCGTTCGGTATACCGATAAGCATAGCCATAATGCCTGAGAAAGCAGCGGGATACAAGAGGGGAACGAAGAAACGACAGATTGAAATTGGGATCCATTCGTTGGGGATGAAGTTGGCCCAATCTTTTCGCCGTCTTCTTGTCTCCCTCCGTAACAAGAAGAAAAAGCCCGAAGAGAAGGACGAACGTACAAAGGAAATTTTCGGAAAGGGAAAACCGGACGGGAGAAACCGATTTCTCGGGAAACAAGCTGCTGGACAAGATAAGGGGTTGCCGAATTATTGATGCCCCAGCGTCGAGTGAGTGATAACTGAGGTTTCGAGAATGGCCTGTAAAGCGGCACGGTTTCCGGAAATACCTCAGCGGCCGTTCCGGTCCAGGTCATCTTGGAATCAGCCGGAAGAATTTTTCTCCCCGACGCTCCCAGCCGTCATTGAGTTCTCGCTCGAATATCAGCCTGGCAATGGAATCCCTTGTATTTCTGAAGGACGCGTATTTCCAAAAAATAAAACTTTCGTCCGAAGCTAGCAAGGAGGTTGGGTAAGGGAGGGGTCGATGGCGAGCATGGGAGTAGGTGGAGCACTGGGTATACCTACAAGGGTTGTTTCCCTGGGTACAGGGTTGTGGTCAAGCGGCCGTACTCGGTCAACGTCAGGATGGATGCGGGGTCTGAGTTTGAAGTAACCCTTCGTATAAGGGTTGCAAGGGTGAAGCTTGGTCCTCGTGTCTACTTAAGATAACAGAGATTGCCGTAGCTTCTTTGATAAATTTTCCGCGCGCGTTTGCCGCCCCAGGATTTATAGGGGTGGACGGAATCCAATTTCTAAAACAGCCGGCGACAATTTATTCCCGTAATTGCATTGGGCCCGGTGAGCCAAATGTTGACAAAACTGAAACGTCCGTCGGTGGGCCTGAGACGGGGATGACCCGAGCTAACCTAATCTGACCGTGTCATACCGTAGGCCACTTACTTTCATAGTAACCGTCTTTAGGTCTACGCTGAGAATTTAGGCTTACAACGAACGCACAGGATAAAGGTGAATTCTCACCAGAAACCATTTTCACTGGGATCCGGCTAACCAGCCACCAGGAAGCCGATAAGTCAGTGCCGGCGAGCATGGCGTAAATTTACGACTAGCAATGTAACGGATAGATTAGAAGGTCGACCGGCCCTGACCACGGGCTTTGCCTCCCTTCCGGATGTGAAAGTAGAGCCAAAGAAAGCGAGAGAGAGATGGTGACTATTTTAGGTTAACAATTGGGGGGATGTTGGTTATATGACTTATTTCATTGTAAAGAAGCCAGTAGGGTGAAATCGGAAATACATTTGACAGATTAATAACTTTGTCGATCGATCGAAGCAGTGTTGGTACTTAGGATTTTCGTAGTCCCTATACCTTATGCGAGTGCGACAGAGACGGAGCTATCGGGCATTACGTGTATAAGACAAGGACGCGAATGCTCTGTTCAAGAAAATTTTCAATTTCATGCGCACCATGTAAAAGCTCGACTTTGAACGATTACAAGTTTCAATTTTTTCATATTAAAAAAAGAAAATATATGATCGAGCAGTAAAGTTCTCTTTTTTTTTTTTGTAATGCTGAATCATTTTGAGTGACGTCAACGTAACGTTTTTTAATTCAATGAAAATTTACTTCGAAGCTATCGAAAGATATGGCTTTTATCTCGACCATGTTGCACCGAATTCAATAAAAAAGTTACTAGGTACTACGTCCCACCTTGAACAACCCTTAACTGTACCTTGACACCCTCTACCCTTCAACTGATGACTTTCTTAAGGTTTCGATATCACTGGCAATGTGTTATCAAGAATAGTGCAAAATTGTACGAGTATACTCGGCGTAATATAAATACAATGAAAAATTGATACGGCGCTCGATAACCGACCAGACTCTTTCGATAAGATAAGGTAAACGAACAGGGGATACAGGACGATGACACGAGAGAAAATATTATTCCTCGTGAAGAGCGCAAAGAAAATATCATACGTTGGTGAAATATTATGAGAAGCGTATCGATCCGTATCGATAAGTAATACAGATGATTAAGGCGCGATAACAGTTTGATAAAAATAAACCGGGCAGAAAAAAAAAAGTAGAAAAGAAAATATTTTGCCAATTTCCATAAAGCGAAATTTCCAAATTCACGTATACGAATAAATCACGCATACCGGCTCCAAATCGTTTTCCTTCCCTCGAATCGTTTACAGTAGGGACTTTTTCAAAGGAGATTTAGGCCAGCATTGTAGTGCATTGTGGAACCAGACAGTGGTAACAACCAGAAGATAGCCAGACCACAGTTATTGATACGGCCCTGCCGCATCTCTGGCTCTCTTTTTTTTTCCATTCGTATACGAACAGATAACAATGGCCAAATGGTTAATGTGCCATTGTTGTCCTGGCAATTGTTGCGATTGGAATTGCAAGCGGTGATCGTTCTAACCGATTTGCGTTATGGTATTTTCAGGTAGGAGACGGGATCGACTGTTTCCCTAAAACCATCGATGCAAACCCGTATATAAAAATTACGTAAAAATCCCCCAAAAAAACTCTCGATCTCTACACCCACCCAAAATACACAATTACCGATCCCACGTAACAAAGCCCCGAGACACGAATGCACGGAGGGTACCGAAAATTGCCATAAAAGAAAACAGCTCTAAAAAGCAAAAGCCCAATTTCCAATGGATCCTATAACCAGTATAAAACAAACCATAAATTCCAGCCAACCCCAACGATGGGTTCAGGGCTCCATCTGAGGGATGGTTTCGGCATGTTACGTTCTTTGGGTTCCTGTTTAATTTGGTCGAAAACCACTGAAGGGAGTTTTGCGGGTGGCACCCAGTATATATATATATCCCGAAGCGAAGGGGCCGAAGGAATAGGATCCTCAGGAAGCTGATGGGGATGCTGGAGGCTGTGGCCGTGCTCCCTTCCAGCCCCTCCCGGCCTCTCTCTATGGCAATATACACCGATACGGGAACGACCTCGTAACCACGAAACGGCCGGCTCTGAACTCCCGTTGCCTCTCATAGTTACTGTGAACGAGCCTTTAACCGGGTCTAGTTACAACCTTAGCGTATGCACGCGTCCGGATATACGACGCTTGTGTTACTCCCATACGCAACTCGAGCGTCAAGTATATTCCGCGTAGAGTCACGTATGTCAATGTTTAATATGGCTGAAGGGAGTAAAGCGCTTCGTTCCTTCTTCAACGCGTCCAAAGAGTCCTTAAGTAGCTGACGCGACTGTCTCGTTGAAAGGATGAATTCCCAGGAGCGAAGTGGGTGCCACTGTTGATAGAGGAGAAGCCGGGTGGGTGGCTGGGTACGTGGAGAGGTTAAGGTACCCAGGCGATGCTATGCCGATAGTTCTTAATAATGAAAGTGGCTTTATTAAGCCAGACGAAGGTATTTCGCTTGTGCCGCTTGACGTTGCGAAACGAGCAATCAAACTTGCTTCACTGTCAGCCTGGACAGGTATAGGTTGAACTTCAAAATTATAGATCCGACGGTACCTTATTTAGTATGTATGGCTCAGGTATGTTGCTGGTATCGGATAGTCCCTTGAGTCACCCCTCGCTTAACCCATTGCTAATGTACCGAGAGCCCCACTAGAAACTGGGGGTTTGTTGGCTTCTAATGTTTCGGCAACTGTTTCCGGCAACCCCCAGACTGGAACCTGGTGAATGGAGCTCTTCAGCTTGACCCCTTGACTGCGACCCAATTACGTCAAAGTAGGGGAGGACTGCTGGATAAGTCGAGCGAGGGGTGACTTTATTTTGGAAAATTTTATCTTTATAACGAACATACCTCGCTTTAATTTTTTTGATTTCGATTTTCAATTTTGACATTCGACGGGGGTCGCTCTGCTGTTACTTACGAATTATCCGCGAATCAGTCCGAGGGTGATGGACTTGAGGGATTTTTGAGTACAAGCTCTACGAAAAGTTTCATGGGATGTCTGGGACACGCGTGACGAAAACTACCCTTAAATCTTGTAGGAGGGTTGAAAATCTTGGTATTCCCGAGTCGACCTTCTTATACGGGAGTCCTACCTATATTGCTGCTTGTTCGCCTCCGTCTACCCTCGGCACCTATATTCAAGCCTTAGACCTCCGTAGTGGCGTCATCCCCTGTCGAAACTCACCGCTCGCCAACTTTCACTACCCTTTGTTCCCGTCGAAGCGCGGTTCTTATAGGGGTAACAGTCTCCACCCTCTGTCAACCCCTTTGCTACAACGGTGCCACTGGGTGCCACTGGGTGCCACTGGGTACCACGCAGAGTGCCAACTTTTCAAAGGGTCCTTCTCTTCCTCTGGGTTCCCCAATTTTTCGCCAGCTGCTCTTCCTCGAACTTTCTTTTTTTTCCTAGCCCTTCCCCTTCCACCCCCACGATCCTCAACCGTTTCCCATGTGGCGGATAGGGCGTCGCGACGCCTTCCTTATAGAGGATCGAATGAATAAGAGGCTTCCCCTTAAGATTCACCAAATTCATCCTGAAAACGTTCGCAGGATGGATAAAGTTCTCGAGGGATAATAATATTCCTTGGAGATTTCTTTTTTATCTTCAACAAATGTCCTTTCACTTTCAATCAAAGAAAAGCATTTTTTTTTCTTTTCTCTTTTTTCACGTATACCCGTATACCGGATTACATGGATATGAAACAACTTGGTCCATGATGGTTATTCTTAGAGTGGCCATTCGGAATGATTTTCGGCAGCCCGGAGACGACTGTTCCAGGACCATCGGCCTGGACCATTCGGAGGATGGAGTCCTTGAAAGTAAACGAAATTTGTACGCGGCGCCCCCTGAGTTGTAAAAAAAAGTAGTAAAG